ACAGTGTGAATTGTTCTTAACAATCGTAAGATTGTGAGTGTGACATTCACTTCTAGCTTTAAAATACTGGAATAATGGACTGGAGAGATGGCTCAGTGGTTAAGAGCATTGCCTGCTCTTCCAAAGGTCCTGGGTTCAATTCCCAGCAACTACATGGTGGCTCACAACCATCTGTAATGAGGTCTGGTGGCCTCTTCTGGCCTGCAGGCACACAAGCAGACAGAATACTGTATACATATCAATCAATAAACATTTTTTTAAAAAATACTGGAATAGAAACTGACAAACAATCAGTACATTTAGAATAACTGGTATAGGAAATAAATGATTAGGATTATGTAAGTAATAGGTTATGAACTATGATTTTTAAAATATCCAAAAGCAAACAAGTGGAAATTTCTATTAATATTTCCATAATTACATTTATATTTTCCAATTTTACTTATTTTTCTTTTGGAAGTTTTTCCCTATTCTAACTGATTTTTTTGTTGTTGTTAGTATGGTTTTTGAATTTTTTGGAGGTATTTGGGTTGTTGTTTGTAGCTTTGGGGTTTTTTGTTCATTTTGATTAGCTAATCATGAAGGCTCTTTAAGTCTATTGTAAGACAATCTGAATACCCAATTGGCCTAGGCCTAGGATTGGACCTCACGGAAGAACTTGTGCCTCAAGCTTACTTTTAGGAGTGAGTTACACACTAAGTGCCTTCAGTCTCTTGGGAGCTCAAGGGAAAAGGAATGCATCTAGTAATAAATTTTTAAAGTACTTAGATTCAGTGGCATTTGATACAGAACTTTAAGGAAGTGGGTGTTCATAAATTATTTTAAGCTAGTTTAAAAAGGGTGCTGCTAACGAAAGTTCACTGGTTCTTTTCAAAACAGAAGAAAGCAGAATAGAAGAAGAAAGATACAGAGGAAGAATTAGAGGAAGAGGAGACAATGACAGGAAAGAAAATAACAAGAGACTAGAATAAAGATAAGAAATAGAAATATGTACTCACATAATAAATACTCATAAAATAAATACTGAAGGGGACAGGTATTTTACATAAAAATAGAGAATTGATTGAACATGGAAATATATCATGGTCCAAATGTATACTGGATTGATTTTTGCCAAAACTTACACGTACAATGCAATTTAAGGTATGGCTTAGTGCCGTAAGGAGGAAGGGGAAATTTATGAAAAAGACAAATTAATGCTTGCCATAATGCAGATAATGAGGCCTGCTTAAAATGATTTTTGTGTTACACGTAACAAAGTCAAGCATGTGAAACTCAACACCTAAGATAAATAACACCTAAAATAAATGAAAAGAAGTAATGGATTGTAACAGTTCAATACATCTATATTATGTAAAGATCAAATCAGGGGAATTCATATACACAACCTTGCATTTACCACATAGTTATGGTGATAATAATCTAGATCCTCTTGTTGTCTTGTACCGCACAGTACATTTTTGTTGGTTAATGTTCACCTAATATTTAACAGATCAGACAGTTCACTCTTCCAGTACTGCTGGACTGTTGTATCTGTTGGAAGACCCCCTCCACCCTCACCCCTTATCCCTCGATGCTTCATGTAACCACCATTCCCCTTTCATCCTCCATGAGACAATTTCTTTTCTCATTTATTTCACTTAACTGGGTGGTTTTATTTTTCCCCATTGAATGGAAGAAGGAGACAGAAGTGCTCTCTCATCTGCTACTACAATCTTTGACTTCAAACTCATTCTCACTTGGCAATGGCTGAGGATGGATCACCTGCCTTGTGACTTTCAGGCTTGTATAAGCGAGAACACAGGAGGCCTGTAACTGTGTAGCAGAAAAATCACTGAACAATGCACACATCCTAGGAATACCTCTGGTCTTTCCTTCAAATTCTACTCTATTCTAAATGGTCTGCAAGAAAAACCCTCTCTGGTTTTCAGTTCAGAAAATAAAATGAAAAAATAAAATAAAATGGACTTTTATCATAACTACAGTGTTAGCTATGACTCCCGATTCCTTTGCAATCACTGCATGTAAGCCCTGCCTTGTATTTATTTAGCATTTGTCCCTTCAGTGTTTAAGTAAAAAAAGTGAAGTACAAGATCAAATGTCTCAAGGTCACACATAAGGGACCATAGGAGGAATTGGAGCAGAGAGAGAGATGAAAGTGATACAGATACGGTACCCATCTATAAATTGTCTCAAAAAGGAAAGAAACACAAATATGCAAATATATATGTATATAAATACATATATATGCACAAATACATACATTTGAATTGTGTAGATGAAAATAAATTCATAGTGTTTAAACAATTTCATAATGTTTGGTTGGCAGTAAGTTATACATTGTAGCAATACCACAACTGAGTGTAGAGATATAATGTTTCCAGGGGGAGGCTGTATGATTGAACTGTTCTGTACTTGGACAGAGAGATGTTAATCACATTATAAAGGGAACTCTTTCTAAAGTAATGTTCGAAGACATTTCTACTCATCCTGAAGGGGAGAACTAAAGGTTTCCCTGGATCATTATTAAAATTCAGTTTTCTCATGGAAAAATTGTGGTCTCTGGGTTTTTGTCATAATATTCCAATTAAAATTTACACATTGCCTCTTGGGAGTGCAAGAATGAGATGGGTGCTGTATTCACGTGCAGGACAGCAGTGCTCAGTGTGTGAGCTAGTAGATACAAAGGAAGGGATATACAAGAGAGAAGGTGTGAAAAAATTTAATATAGCACTCATGCATGCAATACTAAAAAAATTAAATTAACAAAAACAATGTGCATTTTAACAAAATTACTATTTAAACTATACAGAACAGGGCAAGGTTTATAATTTTAGAAAAAAATGACTCTAAATCTCTATGTTTCAGTTTTTTCTGCTATGACATGGGAAAAGAGAACTGAATTAATCTGTTTTCAGCTTGTCTCCTACAGGACTAAAACAGGAATTCACAAACTCTGTCAGGAAAGTCAATCTAATAATAGCTTCATATTTTTAAAGTAATGTACTTATTCATATTTTATGTTCATTGATGTTTTACCTGCATGTATGTCTGTGTGATGGTGTCAGATTCCCTGGAGCAGGAGTCACAAATGTGAATTGCCATGTGGATGCTGGGATTTGATCTCAGTTCCTTGGGAAGACCAACCAATGCTCTTAACTTCTGAGCTATCTTTTCAGCCTCAACTTTTATAATTTTAAATGAATAAAAAAATATACTGGCCATATTTTTGTGATATTTAAAAATTATAGCTAATCCAATAGATTAAATAAAGATTTATTAACAGAGCCACACTGGTCTATTTTCATTGAGTCTAATGCTGCATTCAAAGTCAGATAGCAGAGCTGAAAAGACACATTGACTCTATGATCCACAAACTTCACCTACCTATTATCTGGCCCTTACAGAAATATTTTCCTATTCTTACTACAATAATAACATAAACAACAAAAATTGCAAATTTTGCAGTTAGCAGCTCCAGTAAAAATATATGTACATGTAATTTGAATGCACATGTAGATAAATACCTTTATTCAATCTGTTTAGCTACCTTTCTGCTTGCCTTGTAATATATAAATACTTTTTAAATGTTTTGCTCATTTTCCTTTTGTATAGAGAAGACCGCATCAATGATGTTCAGTGTTGAGAAGAGAGATCAACTATAGATAGCATAGAGCAGAATCTCCCATGAAGAAAGAAAAACTGTGTACAAGAGGAATGAAAGAATAGCCCATTGAAAATCCAGCAAAATCTCTTAATCGAGTGGAGAATTTTTAAGAAACTTAAGTCTACAAGTGTTAAAATTATGAAAGTCTTTAATTGTTACATTCCCTGTTAGCTAATATCTAAAAGTCTTGTTATTTTATTTTAGCAATAATCACAAATGAACTAAACTTTTGACAGAAACAAAAAAGTATTTAAGAAGTTTAATTTCATTTTCCCTATTGAAACACAGGAAACTGGCTAATTCTAGTCAAAACAATAATCTCTGGAAGTCTGCACCAAAGTGTGCAAACTATGATATCAAAATAACATTGAACTATGATATTAGATAATAACTATGTCTCTAACTTGCAAGTCAAGATGCTGATACCAAGTATCACAAACTTAAAATGTCTTTTTAAAAAGCACCCCAATGCATAAAATTTACAACATAAACTATGCACTATTGCCTAGTTTTTAAAACACTTATAAGAACTATGATTGGTTCAAATATTTAAATAAAAACAAGAGCAAAATATTAATTTCTACTTGATGTGTAATGTTTTTTAGAGTGCATAGTCAAGAATTTATAAAAGACATTTAAAACCTAAAGAAAATAATCTTTTACAAAATTCCACCAGAGGGCTATAATTCATTTCGACTTAATGAATTTGCTACTGTTTTCATTTACTGGAACTGGAATGGCTTGTTCAGCCGTAACCAACAAGTCATTCTCGTTCATGCTAGAACAAGAAGTTCTCCCATGAAGGAGAAAGTCATATTACTAACATTAGAAAGCTTTATTACCATGAGCAGCCAACAGAAGGATTACAGTTCTTGCCTACATTAGAGAGTTTGAGACTTCAAAAAAATTGTCGATCTGTATTGATAATTTTGTTTTGCATGGTAGACTACCTATTCAATGACTTTCTTCAAACTTAAAACTTTTCAAACAAATGAAACGAAAGCAAGATATATAGTAAGTCATGATTTTCAAACCTTGAATTAATTCCTTATTACTTAATTACTTTTTATCTTGAATGTTTCTACTTTTTCCCTATTTGAGTATTTGTTCTCTAGCTACTATTCTTCTGACAAATTAACACAACATAGAGCTCCAATTTAGCAAACACACACACACACACACATAAGTGTACACACATACCTCCTTAATAGCAATCTGGTTTGGTATAAATATCATAACCAGCAAATTATTCATACTATAATGGCATAACAGAATATAAAACATTAATTATTTTATAAGCATTTTAATGATAAGTGATTAATAAACATCTTACCAAATCTTATCCAGCACATCAAACACAGGAAAATGTATATTCTCATTTGGAATCAGAAACTGTAAAAGAAACACAGGAATTCACCAAAAAGAAATTCTGTGCTCATTAAGGTTCTTGTTGGATAGGAAGGTCTCCGTTGATCGAGCTTTCTTGTAAAAATGACTCTTGCTCCTCCCTCTCCATCTGGAAGAGATGAGGAAGTGTGATGTCTCCCACTGGCTTGTGTTGGGAGATGATTTGAAGCCTGTAGTAACTCACAAATGTTCAGCTACACAAGTAGGACTTAAGGGAATGGCAAACCTAATTGTAGATGTCTTTACCCCTTAATCTCAGGATTTTAGAAGTGGCATGGGAGGATACGTTTGTGGAAAGCATAGAAAAAAAATATGTTAGTAGAAATGCCAGAAATGGAAAGAGTCAGAATAAGTTGTGTTTTATCATCATTTTGATTATAAACTAAGCACTTTACAGAGCTAAAAGTCAGTAACAAGATCCACACCCATGAAGCTCTTCAGCTTTTTGTGTATGTCATTATGCATCTAAAACACAGTGGCTATTTTAAAATGTTGATTCTAGCTTGTCTCTTGAAGCCAAAATCTGAAAAGGAAAAATAGTTTTGCTTTTAATATGAAAAACAGTTAAAAATTATCTCTGTTTTTCTCTTTGCATGCTTGTTTAATTTCTCTTTGTCTCCTTTCCCAGCAAGAATGTTGAGGAGGCAAGGATAAGCAATACCTGTTCCACATACACAGATCACAAGTTCAAAACAAAACTGATACTTAGAAAATACATATCTTGGGAACGTTTCAACTATACAAGAAAAAAAGCACTGTTTTATTTAGATCAATCAACAGACACTAACCTGAAGCCTGTAGATATGCTTTAGAAATTCCTCAGCATGAGATACTCATTTTAAAATTGGGACTGCTGACAAGCCCTAATTAATTTGGAGTGTTTGACCTCTAGGAGGTTCGCTGAGACTGTGTTTTTAAGAATAAATTCACTATATTTTACTTTGTGACAAGAAAAAGAATGTAGAAACTTCTACTACATTCAGTTGTTAATAGCTGTACATTTCAAAAAGTGAAAAAGAAAAGTGTTATTTGAGAAGGAAGTAACAAAGCATATGAAGAACATGGAAAACGTGGTTTTAAAGAAATTATACTTAATAGACTAGAAGAAAACTTTTTTCTAAAGACAATAGTTACCTTTTTTGAGTTTTTTGAGACTTTTTTTCTTCTGTGAAGTCTTGGCTGTCCTTGAACTCACTCTATAGACTGAGCTGACTTCAAATTCACAGAGTTCTGCCTACCTCTGCCTCCTGAGTGCTGGGATTAAAGGTGTATACCACCACGGGATTTTCTTTTTTGTTTCTGATTTTGTAAAGTGAAACTATCTTATGACAAGATTTTTATTGCTATTATTCTGATCCAATATATGAGTTTGGGGTTTCAAATGGTACAGTATTTAGCAGAGTTTCAAAATATGAAGTGCAATCCCTCATTATCATATATTTTACTTGCTTTCAAGATGAGAACATTGAGTTATCAATGTATATTAAATATTAGCTGATGATAATATAGTATGAAATATGCCAACAGTTTTAATTAATATCTGTTTTATTTTATTAATATTTTATTCCCACTCAGACATACTCAAACAGTGAAAGAGATACATGAGCAAAGTAAGCAATGTCACAAAAGAGGTTATGTTGATGATATTTACAAACATGTATAGCTAATGAATCTCTGTGCAATGGGCATGTTATGAGCACTTGAACAGTAATTATAAAGCTAAGTAATATTTACATAGTAGATCAGTTTTCAGAATGTATCTGAGGATAAACTTTCATTTAATTTATATAAATTCTATTCAAAAATATTTAATGAAGGCTGAGAGGCAGTTCTGTTAATAGAGCCTGTACCTGACACGTGCCATACTCTAGGTAAATGAGAGATAACTGTGCTCCACTGCAAATCTTGCAATTAGGAGAAGGAGACAGAAACACAAGAAGTTTAAGATCAAGTATGGCTACATTTTAAGTTCAAGGCCAGAGAGTGACAAGATACTGTTAAAAACATAAAAAAAGAATTAAAAATGCTAGCCTCTGAGTCAACAATTAAACATCCAAAGGACATTGCTTTGCTACAGAACTACAAGTTCCTTCCATGCCATAATAAATCATACATGCGCAAAAATATGAGAGCAAAATGTTCATTTCATCATTAATACAGCAGCCCAAAAATGGAAAATATAGATATCTAACAAGAAAGAATTCCTCTAATTATGTGTACTGTGATGATTAAATAATACATACATAACATTCATGGTTGTAGAAAACTTTCATTACCAAGCTTTTCCAATCATTAATTCCTTCATCTGAACATTCATTTACACAACCTTTACTAAGCACTTACTGATATCCACAGACTTAGTTGGTGAGCATGCACTGTGGAGATTCTTGTTTTTTTTCCAAGAGGGACCCTTTCAACAGAAATTTATTATAAACAGGTGTGTCAGGGAGGTGTGTCAGGGTCTGACTAGGGTGCTTATATTTAATTATAAAATAGTAGTTCATAATACGGAATTTTTGAAAAAGTGTAACAAGAGAATTATGCTACTGCATATGTGAGGCAACCGGCTATCCTGGATTTCACAGTAGATAAACCCCAGTGGAACACAATTTCCTGGGCTCAGGCAGTGAGATAAATTGAGACATCTGTCTATCTTTCTATCTATATATCTATCTATATGTCTATGTATCTATCTGCGTATCTAGGTCACTGTTTATCTGTTTTTCTAGTCTGCATATACATAACAATTTCATATATATTTATATACTATGTTATGTTTATGCAAGTGGAAGTATAAAACTTTCTGATAAAGACTATTTAATTCTTTAAAGAGTTTTTCATGTGCTCTCAATAAGGCTTTATATGTTACTAATGGGCTAGTAAATACTGAGATCAAACTCTTTTCAGAATTTTCTAGAGTCATTCATTCAACATGAGTTAAAAAATATGCATGAAAAAATTCCCTGTTGGTATCTAAGTCTGAGTAAATAAATATTCAAGTGCATGAGCTTAGACTCAGAATGGTGACCAAGAACTCTAAAACGATAAAGAACAAAAATATATGTAGAACCAAAGAGAATAGGGTCTGGTAAGTCACTAATAACTTTCACATATGTATAAAAAGAACAACACTCATTTCATATAATGATATAATACAATCTTATTTATTTGGAAACAAAATGTATTATAACATTCACAGTTATGTAAGCACTGAGTATAAATGTTAAGAAGAAATTATCTTGGTTCGGCTTAGATTTAGGAAGAAAATAAGTACAAATATGTAAGATATCTACACAGAATAGAAAGTTTCAAATGTCTACTCATTTGATCATGCAATTACTTACTTTAATGTCTTACCGTACTGTATTTACTTTAAGGAAAAGGAAAGAGAGACAATATTTATAGACTTGAGAAGTAACAACTAAAGGTGACTACTAATGCTACTAGACTCTGCATTATCTAGATAAAGCCTTTCTCTCCCACTATCCAGATTTCTATATTGACTTTTGTTCCTGGGACTGAAAACAGTTCCTGGCACCTATGAAGCAATTCAAAAAATAAATACTGCATGAAATAATTTATTTAGACCAATCCGGTCCCTAAAATGTATCTGAATTCCAAAGTCAAGTTATTTGCCCAACTCACACAAGTAAGCACATCAGAGTTAGCGGAGAAATGATCTTTCCTAAAAATGAATCTCTTTATTAAATATTTTCACGCAATATAGTTTGATGATGATTTCTCTTCCTTTAATTCTTCCAAGATGTTCTCCAGCTCCCTATTTGTTCATGTTCTCTTCATGTTCTCTCTCTCTATTTGTGAGTGTGTGTGTGCATATAGTCAACAAAAACCAATTATAAAACTCAAAAAAACCCACAAGTATGACAAAAAATTGCCAAACAAAACAAAAAGCCCACAAAAGGGAGTTTGTTTTGTACTGAATGATTAGCCTTGGGCATACAGCCTTCCCTTGGGTAGATCTTGATTAGGTATGGTACCATGTCAGAGCTGAGACCCTATCTAGCTTAGGCATGTGCAGGTCTTTGGCATGCTGCTACAGTCTCTGCGATTTCATGTTTGTCAGTCCTTTGGTATACAGATGATTCTGCTTGCTTGGGTTATTCACCATCTTTGGCTCTTACAGTTCTCTCTTCCTCCTCTCACTCAAGGATTGCACATTAAGGGAGGAGCTTTTAAAGACATCCAGTTTAGGGCTGACTGCTGACAAGTCTCATATTGTCCAGTAGTAGGTCTCTGTGTTAATTCCCATCTACTGCAAGAAAAGACTTCTCTGATGAAGACTGATGGAGGCACTGATTTATGGTATAACAATATGTCATTCAGAGTCATGTGGTTGCAAAATAAAAGTAGTATGATTCTCCTTAAGTCCATGAGCTATTCAATCTTAGATTCTTGGCCACTTTAGCAATATCAAGCATGAGTCCCATCTCATCAGGTGCATCTTACATCCAATCAAAAAGCAGTTGATTACTCCCATTGTGCCATCATTGTTCCAGTGTATCTTGCGGACACTTCACTATTATAGGTCACAGGGTTTGTAGTCTGGCAATATTGATGATTATCTTTTTCCCATGTTAATCTACAGAGTAAGTTCCAGTACCATGAATACAATTCAGGAGGGTGAAGTTTCTATCTGGACACCAGGTCAACTTCTCTGTTTGATGACATGAATGTTATCTTCAGCAATAGAATCAAAACATTAAGATTTGTAGAACAAACAGTAGTGTTAGCAAAAGTCTGTGATTTGGGATGACGGGTTAGAGATGGATCCCATTGACCAAGGGCTCAACAAGCTGCATGCCATCCCTGGACCCGGGAGTTTTACTCGGTGGCATAAGATGTCTAGTTGGAGTATTAATTTTTCTATTATTTGATGAGTGCATTTAAATTTATTTCACATATGTATATATTTTGGAAGGTTCCACAGTAGTAGGCTCCCATGGGGTTTTCAAGTGGCCTTAAGCATTAGTTGCCCCTCCCATCCTTCCCCCTACACTCTTCTTTCCCCCTTCTCCATTTAGTACTCCTGATTATCTTCTTTATCTCTTGATAACACCACATTCTATTTCCCTTTTCATGGAATAGCCTCTTTTCCTGGCTGGCCCCTTACTAGGTACATGAATCTGTCATTATTCATATTGTAGCTCGAAAACTAACATCCATGCATGAGAGAGAACACACAATGAAACAATTGCTTTTGGGTTTTTGTTGTTGTTTTTTATTTGTGTGTGTGTGTGTGTGTGTGTGTGTGTGTGTGACTCTGTTACCTCGCTCAGAATGATGGCTTCTAGTTCCATCTATTTACCTGCAAATTTCCTAATTTCATTTTTAGCAGCTGAATAATATTCTACAATATAAATGTGCCACATTTCATTAGCTATACATCAGTTGATAGATACCTAGACTGTTCCCAATTTATTTTTTGAATAGATCAGCAATGAATATGGACATCTTCATAGTAGGTTGTGGAGTACTTTGGGTATATTCTGAAGAGTACTATAGCTAGATCTTCCTAAGAAACTGCCACACTGATTTTCATAGTGGTTGAACCGGTTTGGACTCCCAGGAGAAATGGGTAAGTGTTCCTCTTTACCCACATCTTTGCCAGCATGTTCTGTCATTCGCCTGATTGATCTTGACCCTTTTGACCGTGGTAAAATAAAATCCCAAAATAGTTTTAATTTGCATGTCCCTCGTGGCTAAGGTTGGTGACCATTTCTGTAAAAGTTTCTCAACCATTTCCTTTTCTTTAGAAAATATTTTTTTCTGATCAATCAACCAAGCAGAAGCACAACGCATGAATTCAAAATGAATTCCTACCGCTCCATCAACCAAAGACTAAGTCGCATTATCATTACTGAATGATCTCTCCAGGACGACTTTAAAGTCCTCAGTAGACATCTTCCAATGATTCATTGATGTACGGTATTTTCTTGAGGTCAGTGGTCTTTCAGGGCCCACAGAACATTTTCAAAGACCTACCTTGGATCACTTAAAGGGTAAATCAACGTTAAGTTCAGTTTCCTCTACTATCAATATCCACACATGTAGACGTTTATTTAGATTTTACTTTAACAGTAACAACTTTGCCTTGTTAGTGATCTACCATTTACTTTGCAAGCAAATTAACTTTTCGCATTACCCTAGGCTTATCTATAGTGAAGTTAGTTTTAAATCATCTTCCTAGTCATTTTCTTTCAAACCTTGTTTGAAAGAACCTGAAATCAATAATTAATAGAGACAGTGGCACTGTGCTAGGCTTTCTGGTGAAGCCCTTGGGTGCCTGCCTCACTCTCTCCCTAGCCAGATCAGGATGGGACTGTGGAGTGGTGGGCGGTTCCCGCGAGGGCGTGGGGGCGTGGCCTGTCCCGCCCCGCCCCTTGGCGCGCGCCCGCCTCGGGCTCTGCTGCCCTCGCGGGGCCGCGCAGTGAGGCGGAGCGAGGGGGCGGGCCCTCGGCATCTCCTCCATCCCCTGGCTGCCGACCGCAGGGATGTTCCCGGCTCAGGAGGAGGCTGACAGGACCGTGTTTGTGGGCAATTTAGAGGCCCGAGTACGGGAAGAGATTCTTTACGAGCTATTCCTTCAGGTACCGTCCGCGGGGAAGGCCGGGCGGCGGCTCTGGAGCCCCGGGACCCCGCCCCACCGGAGCTCAGGTCTCTCTTCCTTCCCTTGGGCACACAAGTGCGCGGCCAGGGATGAGTGGTTCCTTCCTCTGCAGCCCCGGGTGGGCAACGATCTCCCACCCCAACCCCCCAGCCTGCCAGCCCCGGGCGAGGGCTGCCGGAGCCTCTGCGGGCCCTGGATGTGCTGCGGAACACAAAACAACCCGTCACTGTCCTCAGGGGATAGTAAGCACCCTTGTGTCCAATCTGAATATGGTACCTGTCCCTGGTCATTACCCTTTCTTCCAAGCCTTTTGATGGGGAAAGCAGTTTATTCTAGAATCTTACAAGTGATTACTGACTGGGTACCCTGGCCATGACACTGTATTTCATAATTGGAGGACCTTCGGGACCTTTCTGAGAACTGAAAAAAAAAAAAAAAAAAAAAAAAAAAAACCTTGCCAGCGAAGGTGTCTTCAACCCTTCATTTAGTTGGTTAATGACACAGAATTGCGGAGCAAGCCAAAGAAACCAAAGTGCCCAGAAAACTCTAAAGGGGGGGATCAAAACTGCTTCCCATGATTGATGCTAATCCGTCAGTCAGTGTTGGAGTCTCAGTTTGTGGTGTTCTATACTGTGAAATGGAAGTAATAGTGTCTGCAATGTAATTTGATTGCCAGAAGTAAACTTAGCTCAGTAAAGCAGCTACCTCCATTGCGGCTGGCTGCTACAAATACTCGTTATCGCTAATAGAAGAATAAAAAGAAATCAGGAGTGACTTGCACTTAGAAAATAACGGGAAATTCTCAGAGACACAATAACAGAGGTGTGTTTCGAGAGTGAAGTTTGGGTACCAGCCGTGGAAGTAATTTTTTGTTTTAAGTAATGTTTAAAGGACTTACTTTGTCTGTAAATTAAGTAGAGATACTGAGAGCTGGATAGTTAGCAAGGATTCTCTGAGAAAAGCTCTCCTCTTAAACATTAAAATTTTTATTACTTAAAAATTATATATATTAAGACTTTTATCTTTATCCATTGCCATTTTAAAGATTTTCCTCTAAAAACATAATTATCTATTTTATGACCCAATATGGTTTGAAGTTCACTGTTCAGTAAAGGAATAATTTTAGCTCCTCCAGAACACTTTCCTCTTTAGCCTCCAAGGGAGACAGAAGAGATTTGTGGGGTTGCCAATCCTCTAACACCTGAACCATCTAGTCAGGAAGAACTAGGTCCATATCAATGGGAGCACAGAAAAGACGAAATAAAGTAGCTCCTTATTACTTTTATGATTTCCTTTTAATTTAAATACTGTCTAATGGGCCAAGCAGTAGGCTTGCGTGTCCATTTTACCCAAGGAGAATTGCTAATGTACAGGATCATTTGAAAGACTTTAAGATCAGCAACACTAGCAAAACCACCTTTCAGTTGCCCTGAAAATGTCTCATTCTGACTTTAGAAGGAAGTTATATGGTTGTTGGTTTCAGAAAAGACAGTTGAATTTTACCTTTTAAAATACTATAACAGAACCGGGAGTGTGGCTCAGTGATCAACACTTGCCTTGCTAGTATTGTGCCCTGCTAGACTCTGTCACCAGCACTCAGGAAATAAGGAGTTTGGACTTACATTTATAGGTATATCTTGTCTTTGTATGCTACTGTGTACTGTAATATTTTTATTGATTTTTATTGAGCTCTACATTTTTCTCTGCTCCTTTCCCTGCCTCTCCCCTCCCCTTCAGCCCTCTCCCAAAATACCCATGCTCCCAATTTACTCGGGAGATCTTGTCTTTTTCTACTACCCATGTAGATTAGATCTATGTATGTCTCTCTTAGTGTCCTCATTGTTGTCTAGGTTCTCTGGGATTGTGATTTGTGGGTTGATTTTTTTTTGCTTTATGTTTAAAGACCACTTATGAATGAGTTCAAGTGATAATTGTCTTTCTGGGTCTGGGTTACCTCACTCAAAATGATGTTTTCTAGCTTCTTCCATTTTTCTGCAAAATTCAAGATGTTATTTTTTTCTGCTGTGTAGTACTCCATTGTGCAAATATACCACATTTTCTTATCTATTCTTTGGTCGAGGGGCATTTAGTTTGTTTCCAGGTTCTGACTATGACAAACAATGCTGCTATGAATATAGATGAGCACATATCCTTGTGATACGATTGAGCATCCTTTGGCTATGTACCCAAAAGTGGTATTACTAGGTATTAAGGAAGGCTGTTTCCTAATTTTCTGAGAAATTGCCACACTGACATCAAAAGAGGCTTTACCAGCTTGCATTCCCACCAGCAATGCAGGAGTGTTCCCTTTACCCTACAATCTCTCCAGCATAAGTTGTCATCAGTGTTTTTGCTCTTGACCATTCTTACAGGTGTAAGATGGAATCTCAGAGTTGTTTGGATTTGCATCTCTCTGATGACTAAGAATGTTGAACATTTCCTTAAGTCTGTGTACTGTAATATTAGTAGAGGAAAACTGAAACTAGAAAACAGAATAATTCCTTTTTTACTATATGAATTTTTATAATCAATTTCAAATTTCTCAATATCTTGCTTTAAAATTCATATATATTTCTGTCCTTTTAACCAAGAAATATTAGAGTAGAGATTTAGAGTAGGGGAAAGACAATGAATGTGGTTTCAAATGTATTGAGTGTGAAGTTTCATGATGTGGTTTATCAGAAAGCTGTCTTCATAGAAGAGGCAACAATGGGGAAATTGTTTTGCTAACCTCATCATGTTCAAAGGGAGCAGAAGCTAGTTCTGGGCAAAGCATTCAGAGAAGAAAGATTGAAATACAAGGCACAGCCCCGTTGTAAGGATGGCATACTTTCTTGTGGATAATAAACAAATGTACATATATTTGGCCAAATCTGCAGAGAAAAATAATCTTTAAGGTTTACGGCTCTAAGTCAGTTCCAGTCTTCGTGAACATATCTTCCAGTCAGGGTCATGGAGGTAACAAATTGGTGTAGGATTTTTCCTCAATTGTGATTAACACTGTTCTCTAATATTAGGCGTTGCTTCTTTGCTTGACAAAAACCCATTGCAGGTTTTTGTACCCACACATCCTGAACCTTAAAATGTGCGGTACTTCATGCTGTTTGAAGAATTCACCATAGAATAATATTTCTAGTTGCTTTTTTTAAAAATTGTTGACTCTTATGAATAGTTTACTTATTCTGCCATATCTTAAAAATGTTAAAATGAATTTCCCTTGAACATATTTATGAAGCAGTGTTACTAGATCAAAACACATAATATATGTAGTTTATTTAGAAACACTGTGTAGTATATGCAGGCATGTGTACATGTGAGCACACACACACACACACATATTCCTGTGTAGATGGAAATTTCTGTCCCCCTGGAACCTTCTGTCCTGGAAGGGTCAGTCCCAAAGAAACACTCAGCGGCTTATATTAGTTATAAACTGTTTGATTAGGATTATTATTAACTCGTGCTTACAACTTAAATACACCCATAATTCTTATTTATGTTTAGCTACGTGGCTTGGTACCTTTCCTAAGTGAGGCATTCTCTTCTTGCTCCCTCTGCAACTGGCTGGTAACTGTATCTCTGCCTTTCCGTTTCCCAGAATTCTCTTAGTCTGGTCACCCGGCCTACACTTCCTGTCTGACTACTGGCCAATCAGCATTTTATTAAGCTAATACAAATGACAAATCTTTACAGTGTACAAAGGCATTACTCAACAGCATGCATGTTCATGAACGTGCATGTGTGAGTACCACCACATGTGTGTGGAGGTCAGAGAACACTTACATTGGTCCTTGAAGACCCCCTTTGTTGGAGGTATTTTTTCTGTTGTATACTCCATGTTGGCTGTGGCTCTAGCTTCTGGCAGTTTGCTCTTTGCTGACTCAGACTTAGTCCTCACAGGTTCGTGGCAGCACTCTTACCCCAAGCCATCACCCTAGCCCTTCCGCAGTTTCGAGGCAGGAACATGACTCTGCCATGTCATGTTACTGGCCTTTTTGACAGCAACCAACTCAACCAGATTATTTTTTTCATTACAATTTACTTTTCAGTTAAATGCTGCTAATATGCGCAGAGAGGCAGTATTATTTTCATCTGAGATTCAAATATTCACTAAGTTGAATGTAAAGCCTAAGATAAAGATAGTCTTTCTTTCCTTGTAATATCTCAACTCTACCCTAAAAATTCCTTGTCCATAAATGCTTCTGATAAGCTAGAAAGGTTGGGTAGCTCTGTTGCTGAATGGGAAGATACATGATTTGTGGAGATATTTATGACTGTTCTTTAGTTTAGTCAATCTTGAATTTATTAAATTTATCTTAGCATAAAAACAAAATCCTTGGATTTATGAGAAAATAATTTTAGTTTCTTACAGGCTGGGCCACTAACCAAAGTAACTCTGTGCAAGGACAGAGATGGGAAGCCCAAGTCCTTTGGCTTCGTCTGCTTCAAACATCCTGAGTCTGTGTCCTACGCCATAGCTTTGCTGAACGGAATCCGTTTGTATGGAAGACCAATTAATGTGCAATATCGATTCGGTAAGTTCTGTCACTGATAAATCCTCAAAGTGCGCTTTGTTGGTGCTATGATCAGGGGCTTACTTATTTTGTTTTCTATATAGTGTATGATAGTAGTTTGCGACCTTCCAAATGCAACCCTTGAATGCAATTCATGTTGTGGTGGCCACCAAGCATAAAATTATTTCATTGCTTCTTCATAACTGTAATTTTGCGACTATTATGAATTGTAATGTAAATATCTGATGTGCAGAGTATCTGATATGTGACCTCACAAAGGGGTCTTGTTCCAGAGGTTCAGAACCACTGGTGTAGGACAATTAAAAGTGTTTGTTTGTCATCACTATTAATCTTGAAATGTCTTTTTGGTAAGTTCTGTCACCTATCAATCATCAAAACGTGCCTTCTTGTTGAACCTGTTTTCAGGGGCTTAAGTATCTTGTTTTCTGTATAGGACAATAAAAAGTGTCTCTCTTATCACTGTTGTTGTTTGAGGGGATTACATATCTAATGCTTAATATATAATTAATTGATATTGCCTCTTATATTACCAACCCACTTATCTCCTCTGCGTTAAAACTTTTAAATTTGTACTTCAGAACCAACCAGGAAGTGCCTATAAAGGTTGCTAGCAACTTGAAAATCACATGAGTTAAAAGCAATTAAGTCTAAACTTTATATAGCAAGACTGTTTGACCTTGGTGACACTGTTCAAGTACCTATTATCTCAAAGAAAATTCTTCCCAAGTAGTCTTTGTTGGGAAGCCAGTCTGTGAACGTTGCTAGGACCTGAATTTAAAACTTTAGACATCTGTTGCAAACATCGTGAACTAGTCATCTATAAACGAGAAGTACAAATAATGTTTGCAGGCTAAGAAAGGGCTGATAGAGGCATCTAAGTACTCTGGGGCCTCCCCAGGTTGGTGCTGGCTTCTTGGTGTATTATTATTGTTGTTGATCTACTAAAGTCAACAGTAGCAAAAACCATGCTTCTGCAAAAGGAAAGCTGTTTCTCCCTTTCTCTTTACCCTCCACCTCTCTGCCAATTGGTAGAATAAGCATGGGTGTGTTAGGTTCTAACACTTCTTGTGTAAAGTTGGACTGGCTGTTGTCCATAATATTAAGAGAACTCAAATCTTATACTCTAGAAGCAAACGACAGTGTTGGTGTGCCATTTTTAGCTTACAGTAATGTGCAATAAACAACATTGTTTACCTCACTTAGCCCCATGCCTGCATAATATTTATATCTGTCCATGGCTTTTTGACAAAGTTCAATTTTTATCCAGTCATTTATAATCCTTGATAAAATCTGTAAATGTGACTCTGGATATAAGTTATATGTGCAGAAGTTTGAATACAAAAAGTAGATTTTACATTTGCCTTTGTTTTGTTGTTATTAAATAGGGTCTCACTATATACATCCCAGACTATCCTGAAGCTCTGGATCCTGCTGCCTCAGCCTCTCAAATTCTGAACTATAGGCCAGAACCATCAGATTTAGGGTTTTGGATGACTTTATGACTTAATGTTATAATGTTCAAACTCCAAGTAATTGTGTCATGAAATAATGTTTCTTTTCTATTTTATTTTCTTTAATTTTGTCCCATTAAAGGCAGTTCTCGCTCTTCTGAACCAGCTAGCCAAAGTTTTGAGAGCTGTGTTAAGATAAATTCACACAGCTTCAGGTAATCAAATGCATGTATTTGGATAAATATGAACTTTATTATCTTAACTTGTTAGACATCAACAAGTATATTAAAGCAGCAGTGTAGGCACATAGCATTTTAGTTAAATTGTAACGATATCTTTACAACTAAAGTGATAATTTCCACATTGCTTTTCTATCTCTAGAAAACCAATGTTCTCTTCGTGACTGCAAGGTACTTGCTTTTACGTTCATATTTGAGCATTTCTTTTTTGCAAATATAACGTGGTCTAAGATGTTCCTAATAGAAAGACAAATGCAATTATAAATATTGTAGTTTCAATACTTTATAACTAAGTAATTAATGTAATACCATGTCAATACATCATCAGTGAAATAGCACATTATTTGTGTGTGCAAAATATTTAATCTTAAAGACTACAAGAGAGTTCCTCTGTTCTACTTAGATAAGGTTGTAATTATTTTTTATGAGAAAATGACATTTGTACCTTTTAATTTTAAGATGTCCTTGCTTCTCTTTTTTCACCCAGGAATGAAGAAATGGTGGGCAGATCTTCATTTCCCATGCAGTTTTTCCCAATTGCAAATGCTGCTTTACCTCAAGAATATTTTTTCTTTCAGAAAATGGTGGGTGTGGAATACATTTGCTTCAGTAAACAATTTATAAACATTAGAACAAAAGCACCCTTCTTGACAATTGGTGTTGAAATTTGAACTTGGTACCAACGCAGAGTATGCCCCAGCACATGCACATACTGGGATCATGAGAAACCCTGTTTATAGACCTCAGTGACTGGCCCATTCTCTATAGCAGCAGGCAGGTGACGGTCTGGCAGAAGTAACCAAGTAACCCCTAAATACCACATTCTCCAGAAAATGACCTCTGCCAGGGATGTTCTTAGCCACAAAGATTTTCTCTCAGTATGTAATATTCGTATGTGTGTCTGTCAATCACATTTAAGTATTTTTGTTTAAAAACTCACTTGATTGTGTCTCCAATGAAAAGTCAGGTGTAATTCTGATAGGTCTGCCTTTATATGTTACTTTGCTTTTTTTCCTTTGCAGCTCCTAATATTCTTTCTTTATTTTGTATGTTTAGTGTTTGGATTGTTATGTGGCAAGGGGATTTTGTTTAGGATCCAGTCTATTTGGTGTTCTGTAAGCTTCTTGTATCTTCATAGGCATATCTTTCTTTAGGTCGGGAAAGTTTTATTCTATGATTTTGTTAAATATATTTTCTGTGCTTTTGAGTTGAACTTCTTCTCCTTCTTCTATATCTATTACTCTTAGGTTTGGTCTTTTCATGGTGTCCCACATTTCCTGGATATTTTGAGTTAAGCTTTTGTTAGATTTAATGCTTTCTTTGTTTGGTGAGTCTATTTCTTCTATTGTGTCTTCAGCACTTGAGATTCTCTCTTCCATCTCTTGTATTCCGCTGTTTATTTGAGAGCTAGTCACTAGAAGGAACAGCCATTCTAACGTCTCTGCAGTTTGTCTGTAGCCTAGAAATCTTGGCCACGGATTTTGATTTTAGAATATTTTCCTCACAATTTTTTGTTTTGTAAGTAAAATAATGTAAATTCCAAGATATTACTTTGCAAACCTAAAACTATAGGTTTATTATCTATAGGTGTGAGACTATATTAGTTATATTGTGTTTAGTTATCATTGTTGTTTTGTGTTTGTTTGTTTTTATTCAGAGGCTGTTATGAATAGCCAACATATATTTAAACTTTAGTATTTTTAATATCCATTTTCAATCATTAAACAGTTATGAAACTTCCTGGAAAATGATTCTCTCACTTCTGGAGAAAACATTCCTAAATCATAGCTAGCTAGATCTGTATCAGCACAGAAGCAACCTGACCAGACACTAAGCCTCCCCAGCATCTTTTATCTTTTGGTCTAGCTCGGCTTGCTTTGGAAGATTGTCTCATGCTGCCCTGTCCTCTGATTAGAACAGTCAGAAACTTCAGCTAACTTGCTAAGACCCAGGACACATTTCTCTCCCTAAAGCAGTGACAACTGTGTTGGACGGCGTGGGAGCTCTCAGCTGCATGGACACCCAAGAAGCTTTTAATTTTCATTAAAATTTAAAATCAGTACCTGAATTACACATTGGGAAGTTTCTATGTATATTTAAAGCAACTAGAACATGGTAGTTATAAATTTTTCTATTATAAATGTTATGGAACTCATGTCAAGTCAGTTAACTTCAGTGATGATTTAGCTTCCAAATCAGATAAACTGTGAGCATTTGAGATTCCCCCTCCAAATACAAGCAAACTATCCCCTGGGGATATACCTCAGTGACAGATTGCCTCTCTAGCAAGAGCAAAGTCCTGGACTCAAAATTCCAGCTCTGAAAAAGAAAAAAAGCTTCTCAATTGGTAAAGGTGTTAAATGACAGTATTCTGAATATGTATTGGGATAAATAACTATACATTTATCTATTTATTTTCGTTTTCTATTGTGCTTACAAACTACCAATGTGTTTTTGAATAAGATTTCTGCTGGACACTGCTGACCAATGTGGTGGTAAACTATGTGTCAGCTTTAATCTTTGTGCCTCATGTTACCCAGGTGAAACAATGCCCATAAATCCCTGTACAATACAGTCACTGCGGTATACTCGGGTTGGCATGGCTCACCTATTGCTGTCTGCAAGTGCCTGTGCATTGTGAATTTTCTTCTTGCGTTCTGAGTGTGTGTTCACATGTGTCTCCTCTTCACAGCCCTGGCACACACACAGTCCAATGATGCAGCCTCCTTTCTACGACATGACAGCTTCACTTCCCAGCGATGCATCTGGATCCTGCTCCTTAAACCATGCCCCAGACCTTGAGGCTGGACCCCGCTCCTATGAATGGACTCACCATCAGCCAAGTGAACCTGACCTTTATCATAGGAGCCAACGAAAGAGGCAAAGGCAAGCCAGTGACTCTGGCAGTAGTTCGGAAGACAAGAGAGGGAGTGAAGGTGGCCAAAAATGCCGGAAATGCAAGAGGAAGAAGAAATACTAGTGAAGAGTATCCACGCTGCTCTCTCTCTCAAAATAAAACAAAGAAAACGAAAAATAAGTCTGTTGTACCAAACTACCCATTTCTTGGCCACTTTGTCATTTAAAAATAATGAAACTATGACTCTGTGATTTGCTATTCAGTTTTTGCCCTGAATGATAAAAGCTTTTCAACAGTAATATAATGTGCTAATTTTGTATTTGCAAGATTATTTTTTGCCCATTGTCAAGAAGAATACACTTTACATCATTTTATTTTTAGAACTGAGGACGAAATTTCACTAAACTCTAAAGCCACTCACAAAACCCTTGAGGGTTAAACACTGTGCTCTCCCTAGAGGCTCACCTGAGGCTTTCAACCACAAGTGGGCTGGCCTCAGATGCATCTGTAGGTTGCTGGGGAAACAGTGGTAATATTTAAAAACAGCATGTTCTAACAACTATGTAGTAAGGAGGCGTCAGTTCCCTTGTAACTGACACTTTACCTTTTATGTCTAAACATGCTATCTCTGAGCATCACTAGCAGGGCTGATTTCATATGACCGTGACAGTGTCACCAAAAGAAAGATAACCGTCATATGCTCAGTGTCATTGGCTTAAAGGGAATGCTATAGGATTAGTCCCTTTTTTCATGATTTTATTGACATAAATATCTCTTTACATCTCATCTCTTGTTTGCAGTGAAAAAAAAAATCAGTTGATGGTGTCAGCACCCACTGTCTACTCCCTGCCAGCAAGGGTGGCAAGTATATAGCAAATGTGTGAGTCGTCGTGAACTGTATGGATAGAATGATGTTGTATCATATATTCAATGCCTACTTTCAGGTCTATATTTTTAATTCACGTATTTTAGAAGATAAATGGAGTACATGTAAAATGAATGGTGTATATCAATTTGATTCAGCATAAACTAAAACTAAGAAAAATATGTGTTTGTTAAAACTAATTGAAAGAATCAGGCAAACCCACATGGATTTATCTACTCAGTTCAATAGGGAAAACCACACATGGATGTTACTTTTCAATGTTGCTTACTTTTTCATAAGTATTGTTTATTCAAAAGAATAAAAGTAGGTTTAACCAGAAAAATAGCTGAATTTCACTCTTGGTAATAATAAGTATACAAGATAGTAGCAGTTATAACAAATCCAAGCTTGTTTCCATCTGATCAATATGCAAACCTAAATTCTGCTGCATGGAACTTTAACTCATCTTTACATTCTTCAACAGTTAAATGCAAAAGCATTATTTTTCTTTTAAATTCATATTTTGACAATTTGGAATCAGGGACAAAATAAAATGTATTGGTTCAAAATTAGATAGTAACATTTTAAAACTCATTAACATTGTCTTCAAGTTTCCTCTAGATGTGTAATTTACCATGGACATTAATGAGATCATTATGATTGGCATAGTAGCAGAGCTCTGTAACTCCATCAAAGACAGAAAATTAACTCAGTATCAGGTGTCAGGTAGTCAGCCATTCAGCTAAACAGAATGCTAGAAAAGTCACTTTCACCATGGTGTCTTTGTTAAAGATTATAAATCTTCCCTAGAGTGTTTATGTTTACTACAACCCCAAGATTTTAAGTTGCCAGTTTTCCTAATGTTATATAAGTGGGTGAAGAACTGTTAGTATAATTGGCTTCACGGGGTTTTCTTTTCCAATTTTAATTTTCCGATCTCAGAATCTACTTCAAATGTGAGCAGAAATTAAAAAACTAAAAATGAAACTAGACACTTTACATATTCTCAGTTCAATAATTCATTTAATTAATTTTTAATATACCAGGCACTGACATAATGAACAAAAGTGTCAGTAGAAATTTGTGGCAAACACACCCTCAAGTTTACACAAAAGTCACACACTGGGCTGCAGGTTAGTTGCTTAGATAAAGGACACATACATAATCTCATCATTAAATGCAATTAAATACAGTATTTTTGTGACAAATTATTACAAAGTGCCGTTGCAATGAATATTTGTTATTGTCAATGACTTAAAATACTAAAAATTGTTACATATTGTTTAGTACTGTTCAGGCTAAAATATCATATGCAAAAATGTCCTCAGTTTCTTTATTGCAAGATTTCTCACTTGACAATAATCCCAACATTGTATCTAGATGTCCCCCTTTTCCTATTAAACATACTCACTAGGGTATGTTGTTAGCAATTGAACCTTTTTACTCTCCTTTCTAGTCTAAATTCTCCCCAAATATTTCTTCTTTGCTCAGTTTTGGCTAACGTTCTCCTACTGATCAGTTTTTCAAAATTTTTTATAGTTGTCTTGCTTCAGTGACTTATTTCAGTGCCCGGTCATGCCTCATTACACTGAAATATTTTTGATGCCAAACACTTGTCAAAATGAAAATAGGTTCTTATAATTTCACGTCTGCATACAAAAAGTAGAAATGACACAATTTGTTCAGTTTAATGTCTATTTAAATATGTTAAGTTTAAGCATACTCCTTAGGGTGGACATTGCAGTGAGATGTGGTTTAAAAGTTACTGCTACTCGGGTGGTTTGGTTGCCTGGTTCCCATTCCTGCCAGTCCTTAGGAAGAAAATAAACCAGAGAACTATTGTATAGTCCCCAGATAGAGTCGGCAGAGCATAACTTTCAATTCAGTTGCAGCTTCCCCAGGCCTTTCCAGTGTCTACAGTCTGCCTCTGCTTCTATACATGTAAGTAAAACACCAGAAATGAGAGTCTTGTTCATTTATTTATTGCATATTTAAAAGGACAATTGATAACCTGAACTTTATTTTGGTGAAAATGATTCCTCAAAATCAAACTATTTTAGAAATTATATCTCACTACAGATAGCTCAAAGAACATGCTTTCTAAGTGGGTTGTTTTGGGTTTTAAAATTTTCCCACATACAAAATTAGATATTATCCTGTCTTCTCCTTCCATTCCCTGATCCTTACTTAGGAAACTTAATAAAATACTCTTTTCTGAATAATATTAATGAGATTCATGCTCTTCTGAAGGTTATAATGTTTTGGGTTTTACTTCTACCTAATAAGGAATAACAGTTACCACAGAAATGTACACTAGGGTGACAGTGTCATAACTCTATTCTAACCTTGATTTGCAGTCAGAAGAAATACATTGTTTATGATACTGTTTGCCACTCAGAACCCTGGGTACTGTTATAGAAAGTTCTCACTATACCAGTTTGTTTAACATGTACTGGTACTCAGTCATTAGCACACGTATGAGTGTGTGTGTGTGTGTGTGTGTGTGTGTGTGTACCTAGATCAACATCATGTATTTTCGTCAGTTGCTTTTAGGTACAGGGCATCTCATTGATCTTGGATCTCTCCCATTTGTCAAGATTACTTTGGCAGGAAGTTTCCAGGATCCCCCACCTCTGCCTCCCAGGGGCTAGGATTACAAAGACTTGCCGCTCCCAGCTTTGTACATGGGCACTGTTGACGGCAACTCAGGTCCACATGCTCACACAGCAAACATTTTACAAACGGGCATCTCTCCACTCCTCACTACTCTTCATTGTGATCTTGTTCAAGATTTCCTATTTTCTGCTAAAAATAGTCTTCATCAAGAAAATTGTCAATGAATAAATGGCCTCCCAACACTAAATATACTTAAACTACCTCACTGAGAATGTATGACCTCATACCACCCCATTTAAGAACTGTAGTCTTCAGACAAGGGTGGAAAGCTGAAGTTGTGACACAGTTGGGTGGGGGATTCAGAGTATTAGAGCATGGTAGAGATCATAACAGCAGGAATTCACAGGAGGCTCCCGCCCTTAATAAAATGAATCCTGAAAGGAGAGGAAATTGTCAAACTACTCACAATAAAGAGGTATTCTAAATGTCACCAGCTTCTCTGTAACATCTGCACTGTTCCCATGCTACCAGCTCTGTCCACCCATCCATGGGGAGGTGGCCCCAAGTTTTATGTCTGTGCATGTCTTTGTCAACCCATCCTCTATGTATACTTGAATGTCTTAAGCCTTGCTATTGTTACCCATCCTGTTTTCTGTGTTTTGTTTTGTTTTTCTGTTATTCACACTTCTTAAGTCAGTTTTTGTTTTTGTTTTTGGTGTGTTTTGGTATTAAGTTTTTTGCAATTTCAATGTTACAGAGTCTTAGAGTTAAGACTCCTCCTTGAGTCTTAAAAGACTCTGTGTTTTAAATCTCTGAGCCGCATGGGGTTGTTGAGAATATGTACACTTTTATGTTGAGCTGCATATATTTTTCGTTATGAGATGACAACCAGCCTATGGTGGCAGGAATGAAATATTGTAGTTTGGATGTAACATGTCCCCAACTGTATCATTCAACTGAACACTTCTTCTCTAACTATGGAACTGTTGGAGGATTTTATAGAACCTTGGGGTGTGCAGCCACAGAACATGACAGACACAGGTCAATCACAGGAGTGACCCTTTGAAGGTTTCATCTGAGACCTACTTTTTGCTCTACCTCCCTGATTCATCATTCACCAAAATGTCAGCAAACCATGCCATAATCTCCCAAAGCATAAACTTACCTTCTGAAGCCTGAATGTGTTCCAACAACAGTATGCTGTAAGTCTGTAAACTGTGAGCCAAAGTAAGTCGCTCTCCCAAGTCACTTCTCTCGGGGTACTCTGTCAGAGTAATTATGCCCATACAGATTAAATAGGGGCATATTTAATCAGCTGTTGTACAAGAAGCATGACTTTCTGGAAAAGGTCCATGTATCCACTGATAGAAAGAACCCAGCTGAAATAGCAGTTCCCATCACACAAACACACTTTTCCTAGCCCAAAGATCAAAACCCAAACTTAGTGTCCTATGGAGAAATGACTTCCTCAATATAAACCCTAAAAAAAGAAGTTCATGACCAGACACTTAACTTTTCAGTCAGCATCACCTTAGGCAACTACACATGAGCTATCATGTACAGTATGTCAACAAGCTTCCCTGAAGGATAGAAGGGTAAAAGCATAGAAGGGTACTCTATCATTCGAAGTTCTTCAACAGAATCTATCCTGTAGGCCATCTACAGTATGGTCCTGGGTCTTGTTCTATGACAGATAGATGTTGAGTCTGGGAGAACTCATCTCACATAAAAGAATGAAGTAGGTTCCTGTGAGAGCTGTCTTTTAGAAACGATACAGCCATTTCACTAATGAACTTACAGAAACTGATATTGCCTGCA